CACTGGAACTTTTCTTTAGGTCTTGGGAGTTTTCATTAAGAGTCAGAAATTATGGCAACACTGGGCAAATTGCAATTGAGGTAGAAGGAAACTCAAAGATCATTCTCGCTGCTTTATGTGTGGTGTGCAAAGATGTGGTCCAGACGGAAACCTCTTGAATAGGGCATGCCATTTGTGAGGTTCTCTTGGTTTGGGTGGGTTCCACAATGAAAAGTCACAAATCAATCTGAATGCTAACAGAGTCATGCAAATGTTGGTTTCCTGTGCATATTTTAACTTTACGAAAAGGCGAACTGAAAATAATGGAACAGAAATTTGTTTTGTATCACATACAGTAATTTGTTGGCAATATCAGCCAACATTAATGCATTACTTCTGCTGGATCTTATCATAATGACTTGACACAAGTAGCTTGCCTAGTGAACTTCCGCAGAAATGAGAAGAAATCAATTCTCTATATCCTTCAGAGGCAACACAGAGCTTTACGCCCTCCTTCTTAGCTCAACCAAAATGTCAAATAGGCAAGTTGTTAAGAAATAAAGTAATTTATTTTAGATAGAAGAGAATTAAAATACATGTATATTATTTCTGTTTTTCTAGTTATGCTAAAGTGACATTCTTGGAATGACACTTCTAGGATGTCACTTTTGGATGTAGCATTTTTTATGGTAATAGAGAGATTCATTAAAAGATAAAAATGATTTTGTTTAAAAAGCAGGAGAAAAACAGAAATTGAAATACTTGTCCCGATTACCTTCTGCCTCTTGCTGTTTTATATTACTTGCTGCATTTACGTGTGTATTTCGTATCCATACTATATATGAAAATGTTTCTATTTTTTTTTAAAAGATTTTATTTATTTATTTGACAGAGAGAGATCACAAGTAGACAGAGAGGCAGGCAGAGAGAGAGAGGGAAGCAGGCTCCCTGCTGAGCAGAGAGCCCGATGCGGGACTCGATCCCAGGACCCTGAGATCATGACCTGAGCCGAAGGCAGCGGCTTAACCCACTGAGCCACCCAGGCGCCCCAAATGTTTCTATTTTTAATTAATGTTTTGTATTTCTTCTATCTGGTGTCCTGCTACCACTTCAGACTTACTTTGAATTTACTCAAAACCCAAATTCATTACTTTCTACTCCAAGTCACCTTGTTTAGAGGCTTCTTTGATGTTTGGGATGACAGTAAACAGAAAAGAAGTCTCACTTACACCAACTGAAGGCAACCCTAACAAGGCAACGATGAAGGCAGAATGATATTTTCAAAATCCAGCAGACACTGTTGCATGTTGAGGGGACAGAGCCTTGAACTAGGTCTTTTTGTTAGACAGAGGAGTACCGAGGGTAAGAGAGGTGTTAGAGACGGACAGGCAATGCTGAGACCTGTTAAAGCCAGAATCCATGAGAGGCCAGTCAGAACACTAACTTAATAAGTGAGTCAACACTCTTTTAAAGGCTTATTTCTGTGCTACGTGGAGTCAACTGCCTTACTTCTTCATCTGCTTCTGACCTTTAAAATACTACCCAGGCTTTCAGACCAATTGTTACGTTTCTTTCTCTGTGAAGTCTCTTCCGCTCCCAGGGCAGGTGGCTCTCAACTGTGTATTTGCCATGCCCCTCCTTTAGGTTGTCACAGATGGGGTGGAAAGTGTTACTGGCATCTAGTGGTAAGGGCCCCAGGGTGCTGCTGCACATCCTACAGGACACGAGTCAGCCCCCAACAAAGAATATTTATCCAATCTAAAATGTCAGTAGTGCGGAAACTGAGAAGTCTTGCTTTGGGAGAATGTAATGTCTTCATACGTTTTCCTTTTTTGTCATGGCTTTTTGTAGAATACCTGGTTAGGTATTTGTTTAATTTCTTTTATTAGAGTATAAACTCCTTGAGGGAAGGAAGCATATATATTTATCTTTTTCTCCTCAGTGTTGAACACTCAAGAATGATTAAGAGAAACAAATGTGCAACAGAGCTTGTAGTAAAAAGCTATTTAGCGGTAGTGTAATTTAATATTCAAGAAAAAATCTCATCAAGTTCAGGGAATATTTTATTTCTCAGTTTTGTTCAGTTACAGGATCTCGAGCTTGGAAAAGACCTAAAAAGTAATCTAGTCCAACCACTCTTCTTTACCAAGGGACTTCTTTTGATTTCCTAAATACCAAATTGAAATTCAATTGCAATCGTCCTCAGTTGCCAGACTGTGAAATTGGTATTTCCTCATTTAGACATTATCAGAATATATGGTGGCCCTCTGTGCATAGATATATACTGTGTGTGTGAATTCATTAAGAATATTAATTGCAGAAAAAGGCACTAGGTGGTCTTTATATTCCTTTCAACCCTGAGAATCAGTGATTTAAATTGCTAGCTTTACTAACATATTTACTTACTATATAAGGCAGAAAGAGAGTACACAACATGATTCTTCTGCGTAAATATTTGGTTTATGAATTTCTCATTAACCCAGATGTATTAAATCTTCTATATCTAATAAATTCCTACCCACTAATTACTTAATGCCAAAGATACCTTTGATTTTTACTTAATGACTAATACATTCTAATTGCAAACCTTCTGTTGAACTCTTGCAGAGCCTTTTCCCCAGTATTATTAGTTGTCTACCTTATCATGACCTTAAGAACAAAAAAGGTCATATCTTAAAAAGAAATCCTACCATGTACCTAAAAAGCTCACACACAGCAGATGTCTGTCAGTGGTGAAACTGGATTTCTCAGACACTTGAAAATTAAAAAGGAACACTCTTTACCCATATATGGAATCCTGCAGGTAACTTTTAAAGAGCTCAGGAAAGAAATATCAAGCTCAGTGGACATTTCAATTAATGAGATGAAAAGATGAGATTCAAAAACATTATGGAAGACAAAAGCATGTGAAGAGAAAATTGTAAATGGGTACTTTTTAACTGAAAGGACATTTTATTAAACCGACCTCTCGTTAAATAAAACTATATTACTATCAATATAAAATCATAAGGAAAAATATTATCATGGTACTGGCATTTTTGGAAAGAAGAACCTTTATTACCAATAGTCAAATTAAACATTGTTTATAAATTATGGCTAAAGATTATTTTACTGTTCTTGAAATATAACAACTTTTTACTCAGATGCAGAAACTGACGTCTAGACCCAGCTTTGTGCTAATTGCTAGTGTAACTTTGGACAAATCACTTAACCCTACTGGAATTACTTTTTCATTTTAGAAATTTATGAGAGAGGACAGTTTATTTCTAAGATTGCTTCCAGCTTTAACCTTTTATTTGTCTGAAGATTTGTAGTTAAGACTTCTTTCCCATATATTATATCATTTTATCATCTCGACAGCTTTGGAAGGAAAGCATAGAAAGCATTATTATTTTCTTTCTACTAATGAAAAAATAGGCTCTAGCAGTTACCCAAGCCTGGTATGTGGCAACCCAGTACTCTTTTCAAGATAACTCCCCAAAATCCTCTTTCCAAGAGTAAGTACACAGTTAATCTTTAGAATGTCTTATTTTTCTCTGTTTCAAAATGAACTTTTAAAAAAGTAGACTTTCAAGGATAAATGTAAGCTTCATAATGTTAAAAAGGTATAAGCATTTACATCTGATGGTATGAGCCAGGGATAGCCAGTAAGATTCAATGTATATGTCAACTCCTATTGATTGCTAGCAGCTGCCTCAAGTGTTATGTTGATGATAATTTTGAGGCCAGGTTTGAGTTCAGTGGGAAAGGGTGCCATGTTAGATTAACCAGGAACATTGTGGGTGATGAAGAGGGGAGTGGTGGCAGAACTACTTCTGGGGGAAAGAGTCTTTTAAAGAAATGACTTCAGCGCTCAGTCATGTTTTATGAAAGGTCTGATGTTGACTTGCCTTGTATTGAGTTTTGTAACTAATATTATCAGAAAAGTTTAAATTGATTTGTATCATGAATGTTTTCATAAATGATGGCTTCGTTTTCAAGTTAAAAGGGTGTTTGAGTATTTTCATTTGTAATAACTGTGGAAGAATGAAGAGGTTGTTTCTAGTTAGTTTTAATGAAATGCAGTGTTGCGGCTTGATCTGAAAACTTGAAGGCATTAAATATACTTAATAGAAACATATACACCTATATCTACATCGACATGTTTATTATATATTTATTATGTACAATTACCAGTATTATATTAACACAATAATACTAAAGTTATAATTTGTATTATAAATATGTATTGTGAGTCATAAAACTGATAGTCTCTGGATTAGTCAATATAAACATGTGTTAAACCACTCCAAGAAAAGTTAAAGACATTGTGAACCAGTGGCCGCTTAACTGCCCGATGGTTGCTTTTTTTTTTTTTTTTTCACAGTGATATGTGCTTTGTATCCTTTCTCCCTACTAAGCTTTATAGTACTTTTTAAAAGTTAGGCTTGATTATTTCCTTTCAAGCAATGAACACCTAAACCTTAGGGAAATTTAGTAGTCATCCAAGATGATATGGCTGAGAATGTTGCAAAGACAGAATTTAGACCAACGTTTGTCAGGTTTCAAAGTCCTTAACAAAATCAGATCACATCTAGCTGAAATTTGAGGGCACAGATGTTTCCCACTGATGGTCTATATTCTACATGTATCTGATGACATATTTTGGATTTTAGTTTCATTAACTTACATACATTTAGAGGGGAAAGTGAGGGCATACCAAAAAGGAGAACTACTGTTTTCCAGTGTTTGCCAATGGGATGCTGATGAATTGTTTTTCTGTGAACTGTAATGTTTCGTCTAAAAAGCACTGGTCTGGGTTTAGAGGATTTACTTTAATTGAGATAAAAACTTCCCCAAAGAATTTTTATTGTGGGGGAAATACATACAAATTATACTTTCATGCTATTCATGCACCTAAGTTTGGCACAGAAGAAACGACCTTGCAATTTGGCAAAATACGTTATCGGCAGAAGCATGTAAAATGGTCATAGCTTATCAAGCCATAAAAGTAATTGAGAACGTCATTTTCTGTTTTCCAGATTCCTTGGTGTCACTCAGTTTTCACCTACCCATGCCAGAAAGGCATTTCCTTGTTTTGACGAGCCGATCTACAAGGCTACTTTCAAAATTAGCATCAAGCATCAAGCAACCTATTTATCTTTATCCAATATGCCAGTGGAAACTTCCGTGTTTGAGGAAGATGGATGGGTTACGGATCACTTTTCACAGACCCCTCTCATGTCTACATATTATTTAGCCTGGGCGATCTGCAACTTCACATACAGAGAAACTACCACCAAGAGTGGGGTTGCAGTAAGTATTTTAAACTTAAATATGTTTTTAGATAATGTATGCATTGTATAGTAATCTTATTTCTGGATTAAGAATGAATCATTTTTATCCTCTTCAAGACGTGCATAGCTAAATTCTTTTGTTAACCCTTGGCGGGAAATTATTTTCCTGGTTTCTAGAGTCAAAGAGGAGTGTCTTTTCCATACCCACCCCTCTTGTCCCTTTCACTACCTCCTCCGTCCCCAGCATCCCCATCCCTCTTTAGCTTCTGAGTATTTCTGAAACAACTGTTGTCTGCTTTGGGAAATTGTTTTTTATTTATGGGACTGGGAAAGCTGCTTCTCTTTATAGTGAAATATTTCAAATGTCCAGAAAATGTAGAGAATAATGTAATAAACTCCACAAGCCTACAAGCCAGCTCTAGAGAATCTAAACATTTTACCATCTTTGCTCTAGTCTAATTTAGTTTTTGAGAAAGTAAAAGACACTGGATAGAATTGAAGCCCTCTGTGTGCACCTGCCTGATCTCATTGCCTTACCTCTTCCTTTAGAGATAACTATTGTCCTGAATTTGATGTTTGCCATTTCTGTGCATATTATCATACAATTACCAAGTGTGTGTGTATGTATATTTCTATAATAGATGCTGTGCTTTAAAATTTCACAAGTGATTTATATTATAGATATCGTTCTCTAAGTTATTTCATTTTAATTTTTGATTTAAATTATGTTTTTGTGGTTTATCTGAATAGAATGGTTTGAGTGAAGATATCAAAATCTGTTATCTTCCTATAGATAACCATTTTAATTTTTCTGATTAACAACAATGCTCAATGAGTATTTTTTTTTTTTAGATTTTATTTATTCATTTGACAGAGAGAGATCGCAAGTAGACAGAGAAGCAGGCACAGAGAGAGAGGGAAGCAGGCTCCCTGCTGAGCAGAGAGCCCGATGCGGGACTCGATCCCAGGACCCTGAGATCATGACCTGAGCCGAAGGCAGCGGCTTAACCCACTGAGCCACCCAGGCGCCCTCAATGAGTATTTTTGTCCATGAGTTCATCTGCCAGTGTGCTAGAATTTCTATAGGGTTAAAAAGCTTCTCTTAGCCCGTAATACCGAAGTGTATAGAAATACATTCTTAGGGGAGCATGATATATAGGACGCCTAGAGAAGACATGCTCTGCATTTAATTTACAATAAGATGCAATTGGACATTCTTTGATAACTATCATTTGTGATAGCATGGTGTTCCAAGCATTTTTTTGCATGCTGTTTATTGTATTGGCACTAGTCAGGGTCAGGTCACGCCATGCTGAGTTAACAACTTCCTCCTCATTTCAGTGACTTACACAATAAATATGTATCTATTTTAATTTTTATGTTGCCCCTAAAGTAAGGTATTATGATTCTGTTTTTCCAGATGAATAAAGTAAATTGAGGTTTAAAGTGATTAAGTAACTTACCTCTAGTCAAAAAGTTAAATAAATGGTAGAGCTGCAAGACAAACTTCGTTGGTCTGATCCCAAATTTTGGGCTTTTTCCCACCCTGAGCCCTGGGAACTCTGTTTCATCGTTTCAGCTGTATGTCTGTAAAAGAATTTGAGTACTGGTTCTCTCTATCCGGGGCCATTGTATTCAGCATTGCTCAAACATAACAAAAGGAGTTAACAGAAATCTATATTCTTGTTCTGTAAGAAGTTCATAGGTCCAAAACCACCTAAATTTTGAAAAATAGGTTTGGATCAATACATTTTCTCAGTGTTACTTTCAATTTAAATCACTGTGGCACCTATTTAAAAAGTAAAATCTGCCTGCATAAAAAATGAATGCCATTATTGAAGAACTGTGTATAATGAATTAATCTACATAATCATAAAATTAGGTCCTAAATGCTGGCTATGGAGGGCCAGAAGATATTTTGCTCTTCTGGACTTGTACTCATTTGATATGTTGAGTTCCTCTGATGTTTGTTGATGTCTCCTATGGATACTTCAAGGCTATACATGTTGGACCACACACAGAAAAGGAACACCAAGACATCTCATTTACTCTGACATCTTCAAAAGTTGATGGCTGGCTTGCTGTGCATCAACTTGCAGCATGGGGAGCACTGGAAGTGCTTTTTCTAGTATGTTTTCTTTAAAGCATCTTGAAGGTGTTCTCAGCCCTACACAATTAAGCTTGTTGCTAAGTGACCTATATTTAAATCCAGACACACTCTAATTATTAGATGTGACTTTTATTAGGGTTAAGAATCCAAGTAGTTAGTAAATATTTTAAAATTCCTCCTTAATAATTTTTATGTAGAAAAGATAAAACATGCTACCAGAGAACATCGAAAGGTCAACTGAAATAAAATCTTAGATGATATAATCTAAAAATGCTAAGGATAATAAAAAGGAAAACAAAATTGCCCCTGGGAGCCCTTATTCATCAATTGTGGAAATACAGTTTAAAACCTGGTTCTTTTTTTTTTTTTTTTTGGTCACCCTTGGAAATCCAATCTGTTTTTATTTTCATCACGTTTCCTCTTTATTACTGGGGAGGAGCACATAGGAATCACATTTCTGAACTCTTAACAGCTGGAAGGAGTGGAAGTTTAGCCTTAGGATCTTGGGGCTGGGGACAGTCTTGTGAAGTCCAGGTGGTCATGTTGGAGCAGAACCTGACACAGTTTTCTTTGAGCTGTAAGAACATAACTAGAGTAGAATCTTAATAATTTGCAGCTGAATCCTAATAGTGCCTCAAGTGTGTGCATTTGAAGCATCATCATTTACTTCTCAAGTTTTCTGCACTTTGCCAGGCACTATTCTAAGTAATTAGGTAAAAAACTCTCAGATCCTTTTAGTACAGCGATTGCATGTGCCTCTTTCAGGTGGAATCCAAGCTGGGAGACCTATTTTGTTTACCCATTCCTAAAATGGCTCAATATTTTTGTAATTAATTGTCGATATTTAGAAATTGAGAGATTACACATAAAATTATTTATTTCTGGCTTCTCTTGAAAAATGGGAAGAACTTGTGACATTGGGCTCACATTCCCATGTGGCAACAATTGGTCATTCATTTATTCCTTCAGCAAATACTTACTGAGTGTCAGGTATTGTTCTAGGCTCTGGTGATATATCAGCCAACAAAGCAACAACTCTACTCTCAGGGAACTTAAATTCTCATGAGGAGAGAGTGACAATAAACAAATAAATGTATATCAGGTGGTAATATTTGCTATGAAGAAAATCAGTGTCCTGTAGCTGGGTGGTGGCTGACCCATTTACATGAAACAGTTGCTTCCTAGTGTAACCTAATTCAGACCACTTTTTTCTTTTGCACCATGTCAGATTTACTGTTGTGTATTACTTGCTTTCATTCTGTAGGCATTTGGATTCTAGGGACATAATTCAAGAGCGTAGCCAAGGAATCTGCATTAGAAAAGCAATGAATTCACTCATTACGTCTTAGTGATACTGGCATTCACTAATTGTGAAATGAAAGTTGTAGAAAATAAATTCAAAACCATTTGGAAGAGGGAGAAATTGCTAAGGCTGGAGTCTAATGATATGCTTTATGGAGTAGATGGGATTTACTAAGACCCTGAATGATGGTTTGGTCTTAGAAAAGCAGATGATGTATGCATATAGTCCTTGGTGGGAAATGTTACTAAGAAAAGACAAAGATAGGGATATCTACGGGACATAGTGTGTGGTTATTATGGTAATAAACATCATCACTTCTGCTCCTGGTTACAAGTAAGTCATTAAGGCTGGTTCAGAATTGCCGGAGGAGGGCATATATCCCACTTCTTGATAAGGGAGTGTCGGTGAATTTGCGGATGTGTTTTCAAATCAGTACATCTTCTCTCAGGCTGCAAATTATTTACATTGATCTCACATACAAAATATACTCACCAGTAGGTCTAACTGCATTACAACATCAGGCTGAAGTCTGAGATCCAGGATCTCACCATCTGATTTAGCTCTAGGTGCTGATGAGACTATTTGGATTTCATTTCTTGGACATGGTTCCCTTGCTCTGAAGACCTGTTAACTAAAGGGACATGTTATCTATCTTCTCTCCCACAACAGATGATGCTGAGCTGGGAATATGATTGCTTCAAAAGGACTTTCCATTCAAGAATGGAGAAAATGGGAGAACATAGCAGTTGTTGGCCCATAGCAGTTCTGAAATCCAAGTGGGCACATGTTGGCAATTTTAAAATTATGGCTTAATACTGTCCCATATAAATTGTCCTTTTGTCCTTCCTGGCACTTGGCACCATCACTTGGGTTCTTAGTTTTGCCTTTTAAGGCATCTTTTCTTTTGTAATTAAAAATTAGTTTGTGTTTGCCATGGAATAGCCTTCTCCGCTTGCTTCCTATCTGTAAAAAATTAAGGGTCCAAAGGCTTATTACTATTATTATTATTTTGCATTGGTTCTGTTGCTTTAAGTCAAAACAGACATTATTATTTTTTAAAAAAGATTTTATTTATTTGAGAGTGAGAGGGCACAAGAGAGAGCACAAGTGGGGTGAGGGGCAGAGGGAGAAGCAGACTCCCCACTGAGCAGGGTACCTGAATTGGGGCTCCATCACAGGACTCTAGGATCATGACCTAAGCTAAAGGTAGACGCTTAGCTGAGGCACCCAGACATCCCCATGTATAATTATTTTTTTAAAAAAATTGGACTTTTTGTGTATCCAGTTACATGCATTCCATTAGACAAAACTATACCCTGGGTTTCTTTAATATGAGCCTTTGTCTACTGTGAGGCTTTGTAGAACAATGCTCATAACACTCTTAGATGCTCTGTTACTGAACAGAGAAGGTTTATGAGGCACAACCTTAATGTCCTTAGAAACTTTTTATCTGTTTGGAAAGGTTTGAAGGGCACCACTTTAAAAGTATTTGAAGTCTTAACAATTCCTGAAGTTGAGTCCTTGGCTTCATCTTTAGATCATCTTTTCCTGACAGTGACCTATATTTTCCTCCCTGAGTCCATTTCTTACTTTGAGAATCTCTTGC